CCAGTTTCTGATTTGTATCAGAAGGTGTGACAGCCATCTTACAATTCTTCAGATCAAATCTCTTCAGAAGTTCTAATTCATACTTAAGCTGATGCAAAATGATACCTTTCTCAGAGTATTTGAACTCCATCCCTAGAAAGTATGTCATTTTGCCTAGATCAGTCATTTCAAATTCATTCATCAGAACTTTCTTGAACTTGGCTATCTCCTGTTCAGAACTTCCAGTCAATAGTATATCATCAACATATAAACATACCAGAGTCATATTGCCTTCAGAAGTATGCTGAACATAGACACCGTACTCCATCTCACATTTCTGAAAGCCTTGCTTCTTGAAAAATGAATCAATCTTCTGATTCCAAGCTCTGGGCGCTTGTTTCAATCCATATAGAGCTTTGTATAATCTGTACATCATCCCTTCCTGATTCTTTTTCACAAATCCAGGAGGTTGTGACACGTAAACTTCTTCTTCTAATGGACCGTTCAGAAATGCAGATTTTACATCTAAATGCATCAGAGGCCAATTCCTGTTAGCAGCTATTGCAATCACCATTCTGATTGTTTCATGTCTTGCTACAGGTGCAAACACTTCAGAGTAATCCAGCCCAGGTTTTTGTAGAAATCCTCTGGCTACCAACCTTGCTTTATGTTTGCCAATTGAACCATCTGGCTTTAACTTCTGCTTGAAAACCCATCTGACGCTGATGGTTTTCTTGTCTTTTGGAAGTTCTGTCAGCTTCCAAGTCTTGTTTCTCTCTATAGCATCAAGTTCTTCTTTCATGGCCTTCAGCCAGAGCTTCTGCTTAAGAGCCTCCTCTGTACTTATAGGTTCAGAGTCTACTAACATGACACACTAAATAACTTCTCCTTCAGAGTCTACTTCAGTGTCTTGCAGCATGTCAAATTCTGCAAATCTTTTGGGAACGCTTCTGATTCTTTGTGGTCTCTGAACTTGTTCAGAGTCTTGGGCTTCAGATGATTGACTTTCTCCAGAGCTTTGACCAACTTCAGGATCTGGCATATTTCCAGAGTCTTGAACTTCAGAATTTCTAGCTTCAGAGGCTTGACTTCCTCCAGAGCCTTGGCCATCTTCAGAGTCTGAATTTCCACCAGAATCTGGATTACCATCAGAGTCTGGATCATCAGAGTCACCTTCATCTTCTGAGTCTTCTCCAGAGTCAGAATCACTATCAGAGTCAGAATCAACGTCAGAGTTTACTTCAACTTCAGAAATTCTTAACTCTGACCTTTCTTCAGAAGTTCTAACATCAGAATCAGATTGAGACTTATCCCAATTCCAAACTTCTGATTCCTTCACAATCACATCTCTGTTGAATTCAATTTTATTGGTTTATGGACAATAGAGCTTGTATGCACATGTACTGTGGTACCCTATCAGAATCATCACTTTGCTTCTATCATCCAGCTTCTGTCTTCTGGCTTCTGGAACATGTTTATAGCAAACAGAACCAAACACCTTCAGATGACTAACACTTTGCTTGTCTCCAGTCCACTTCTGCATTGGAACTATTTCCTTCAAATTCTTCGTAGGACATCTGTTGAGTACATACGTTGCAGTGGCAACAGCTTCTCCCCAGAGCTTCTGAGGAAGCTTCTTCTCCTTTAGCATGCTTCTCACCATATCAAGCAAAGTACGGTTTCTTCTTTCAGCAAGACCATTGTGTTGAGGGGTATAGGGAGCAGTAACCTCATGCTCAATTCCATTCTCCTCACAGAACTTCTGGAACTCTTTGGAGTTATATTCACCTCCACCATCAGTTCTAAGAATCTTCAACTTCTGACCACTCTGATTCTCAGCCTTCATTCTGAACTTCTTGAATTCATCAAACACCTCATGTTTAAATTTAATAGGGGATACCCATGTCATTCTTGTGAATTCATCAACAAACAACACAAAGTATTTATTCCCTCCAATTGATGCTACTGGAAATGGACCACACACATCAGAATGTACAACTCCCAAGGCATGTTTTGCTCTTGGAGCAGCTTCTGACGCAAATGGCAAACGTGGTTGTTTTCCTTCCATGCAAACTTTGCATGACTTTTCAGGCTTCTTAATTGCAGGGATTCCATGTACCAGCTTCTTTGAATTCAGATGTTTTAGGCTTCTGAAATTCAAATGACCAAATCTTCTGTGCCACAGCTCACTCTCCTTCTCAGCACATGTTGCACTAAGACATTCTGAGTCTGCAGTTCTGACATTCACCTTGAATGTTCTATTCCTTCCCTGTTCTGACTCCATAATCAACTTTTGATTGCAGTCATACAGCTTCAGAAGATTGTTCTTCATGGTAACTGAAAAACCTTTCTCAATTAATTGTCCCACACTCATCAGATTGCTTCTGATGCCAGGTACATACCACACGTTCTGAATCAATGTTGTTTTCCCATTGTTCAGAATCACTCTGACATTTCCCATACCTTCTGCATTAAGATATTTGTCATCAGCACATCTGATCTTTGTTCTCTTTTCAGAGTCAAAGTCAACCAACCATTTCTTGTTTCCAGTAAGATGATTTGAACAGCCAGTGTCCATATACCACCAGTCTGTCAGATCATCAGATTCAGAGGCCATCAATAGCACAGATTCGTCATCAGAACTTCTGGCTATATTTGCTTCTTCTGATTTCTTCTCCTTGTTTGACCAACAATCTCTAGAAAAGTGACCAAACTTCTTACAACAGTAACATTGGATCTTCTTCTTGTCATACTTCTCTTTTCCCTTCTGAGCATTCTTTTGTCTACCAGAGGTTGAGCTTTCTGACTTCTGACCACTATCAGATCTTCTCTTGGCTTCTGACTGCTTCTGATACCTCCTATCAGAAGTTTCTTTCAGAGCCTGCTGCTCTACTTCCCTTTCAGAAGTTCTCTCAGTCAAACGCAACTCTTGCGCTTCTAAACTGCTCTGCAGCTCTTCAATTCTCATGGTACTCAGATCTTTGGAATGTTCTATTGCTACCACAATGTAATCAAATTGAGAGGTAAGGGATCTCAATACCTTCTCCATGATTGTTTCTTCAGAAAGAGTTTCTCCACACGCCTTCATCTCATTAGTGATCAGAATCACTCTGGAGATGTATTCAGAAACTTTCTCATTATTCTTCATGTTGAGATTCTCATATTGCTTTCTCAAGGACTGAAGCTTCACCTTCTTCACTGATGCGTCACCACCATAACATCTAACCAGTGTGTCCCACGCAGCCTTTGCTGTCATTGAATCTGCAATCTTCTCAAACACATTTACATCAACACATTGATGAATAAAGAATAATGCTTTCTGATCCTTCTTCCTTACTTCCTTCTGCGCGTTTTTCTGTTCATCTGTTGCATCTGCTGCTACCGGAACATAACCATCAGTGACAAGATCTAGAACATCTTGAGCACCAAATAGTACACGCATTTGGATCATCCAACGATTCCAGTTTTTACCATCAAATACTGGAAGTTTGGTGTTCATGTTGTCGTTTCCGTTCATCTTCTACCTTGCACAATACACTCAGATTTCTCACACAGTGTTTCCCAACCCACAGAATAAAATTTTGATCAGAGTTTGTTCAAGATTCAACACGAATCTAAGAATCAAAATCAAACACACAAGACCTCACGTTCACTCGTGTTTCCCGTGTTTCCCAATGAATCTGAACCGGAGCTCTAGATACCAATTGTTGGTGCAAAGGTAGAATAAATGATGAAAGGTAGAAATATTCTATTAAGAATGACGGCAGAAGAAACATGATTAAAAGTTACAATGATTGTCACCCTATTTATAAGCTAAAACTAGGGTTACTAGAATAAGATAAATACTAAAATACCCTCTAACAAACTTATGGGCTTAAGAAAGTAATATAATAAAATATGAATTATTACTAATATTTTCAAACAATTACAATCTAATCACGAATCGCACTCAACAACTTTTAATTTGTAAGCATTATTGTTTTGGTATATTTGTAAGAAGTCTATGACAGGTTATAGGTGAGGCACATAATGCCTCATTCCACCGTAAAGTCCTTCTGATCTCATATACAATCGATCGACCGTCCGTTTATAAGATGTACTATTCCTTTGTTAAATATGTCGTCTTCTTCTATGAAGAGTTGCTCGAGGAGGAAATGTCGGGAAATGACGTGACTCTATCAAACGTTACAAAATGAGGCATTTGACCACGTTTTTCAAAATAACATTGGATTAACTGTCCACCCCACTACTAGAAAATTCGAATTTAGTGACCGACTTAATGACTGAAAAATTCAGTCACTTTAGCCACCGAATTAGCCATCAAACTTTGACATCATGTTAATAAAATATTTAAAGTATCTAAGTCGATCACCAAATAAAGTTAGCCACTAAATTAGTGACCAAAATTTTGTGACCGTAATTTTCAGTTACAAAATTAATTTATTAAAAAATTTCAATGACCGAAATTTTAGTCACTAATTGGTGGTTTTATTTTTTAAATTACTATTTTCCTTCTTAATTTTCTCTTCTTTTTTAATATTTTAAGCTTCATTTTAATTTTTAGTTTTTATTCAAAATTTCACATTTTTATTTTTATAATAAAAAATATATTTATATAAAAAAATTGATAAACATAAATTTATTAATTTTATAAAAAATTTAAATTAAAAGACATTATAATAATTTTAATATATTTTAATAATGTATACCATTTTAAATATGAAATTGATAATTGTTATGATGCATCCTAATAGTAACGTGTGTATTCTATAATCTAAGATCATGGATTCCATACTTGCTAAAGGTTAGCTGTCAGTATTTTTTCAACCATAAGATTCTTTTAAAGACCATATAATATTAGAAAATAGGTACATAACCCAAACAAAGTAGAAATGAGGTGATGATTATTTACATGGTCAACAATAAGTATTTACCTCTATATATCTACAACATTTCCAACATGTGGCATTGAGATTCATGACCATATCCTTATATGTTTACAATGATGTATAAATATATTTTCAATGTAAGCACTCTATAGGAGATGTAGGATACCTTTGTCTATCTTTACAATAATCATATGTCACATATTTTACTTTTACATCTTCATATTGCCTTTGTGATGTAGAATCCAATTGCCAAAAAGTTTTGTTATTCCACCAAAAATGATCAGAAACACAATTTGAATCAATTAGGGTTTGACTTTGACATCCACTAACATCAAATCCTTGAAAATTTGCTTTGAAAGGTGCATATGTCCAATTTATTTTTGTTTGACCTCCATCTGTTGCCCAATTTTCACCATTCCACAAACTTGCTTGTATTTGCATAGCTTTTGTTGGGTAGCCAACTCCAATATTGCTATTGTTCTTGTATATCCTTATAGGGATATTGTCCACATAAAATCTGTAAATCCAAAATCTGAAATTATTTACATTTATATATAATAAGATCAATATTTTAAACATCAATCATATTCTTTGTATATGAACAAAATCATATGTATATATCTTACACAATTTGATGTTGATTCCAAAGAATTTTGTACTCATAGAAATTAGATGTGGGATCAAACCAAAGTTGAATTCTTTGTTCTCTACCCCCTTCACCATTTGTCCATACATTAGTCTGTAATGAATATGACTTCCCTTCACTATTGCCCAAAAATTCAAAGTCTAATTCGTCGTGATTATTTCCTTCTGATATTAACTACACACAAAATAAATTGCAATTAATATATATATATAATTTCTTCTTTTGATATGAGCAAATTAAAATTTAATACTAAATATTATATTATATAAAAAATAAGAGAGAAAAATTAACTCACGTAATAAGCTGTGACAACACCTGCAGAGTTTCTACCTGGTACTTTGATCTTCAAATGAAAAAATCCAGAACCATAATTTATCTTAGATGCAAAGCCTGATCCTATTTTTTATGTGAATTAAATAAAAATAACAAAAAAAAATTAATATTATGTTTATGGTACTAATCTACTAAATTACCAATTATATTCAAATTTCTGGTATACTATTTATTCGATCTACTTGTAATATATATATATATATATATATATATATATATATATATATATAAAAGAAGAAAAAAAGATAGGAAAGCAAGATGATGGAATTGTGGAGAATTCTTCATGACATGCAAATTGTATGGCAAAGGGGTTACATGTATTCTTCAGTATTTCTTTTATATATATATATATATATATATATATATATATATATATATATATATATATATATATATATATATATATATATATATATATATATATATAAAATAAGGAAAAATGAAAATAGATAATTATAACCTGATGAGTTATCCATATTGAGTTGAACTTCTTTTCCTTGGTTTATAACATGATTGGCACCCCATGTAACCTTGTAATTTTGATCAAATAATGTTATTTCTTCAGTTCTCCTAATTCCTCTAGAAAGAACAACATGAGGAGCTAGGACCACAAGAAAAATAAAAATAAGAGAATTCATATTAAGAAAAATGTGAGGCAAAGTTTGGATGGATAAATTGATATATTGAGGTTTCAATTTATAGATGAATGAGAATTGATTCAAAGATGAGCGTCATAGGGCGTGCTATGAGTCCCATAATTTCATTGCCAATACGCTACTGACTTGTCAATAATGGGCACAATAGTATATAAGTAATGCATATCCTCTAATTCCATAACAACAAACCCACCACATCACGATATGGCTTACTTTGGAAGCTGCGTTTACACTTCAAATACTAGTAATGTATATCCTATAATTGTATTATATAAGTCGTATCTTGAATAATTTTAAGTAAGAAACAAATTAAGGTCAATTCAATTCTTCAGTTTGAAGTTTGTACTATGTAAAAAGTTTTTTTTTTAGGTTTTAATTATCTAAGAGTGATTGATCACCTTCCGACTTTAAGGTTGATGCATATATAAACTAGACCCTTAGCCCAAATTGTTTCTAAAGAATCGATGTCTAGGCCTAATCATCTGGCTAGATCGTGAGGTGAGAAGGAATCAATTGTTCCCTTTAATAAGGATTGTAGTTATCCTTTTAGACGATTGAGTTTTGTAGTTATGTCTCCTACATATATTTTGACACATCTTTAGGTGTTTGAGACTGAAGCATATTGAGATGGACCGAGTAATCATGTCCCAGGTACATTGGGTCAGATTGGGCAATCTCACGTGCTCACCGTGTGAGGTTGCCCCTTCGTACCTAATCTTTTTCCGTATTATTCACAGACTGGGTGTGCTATGGGCCAGCCTCTTTAAGACCAAAAGAAGATTATTTCAGTTCCCAGCACCTCAAGCACGGGACCTAAAATGGGAATATGATTAAGCTAAGACATTTTAGTTCACAGTATCTTAAGCACATGGCTTGAAAGGTGATGTAATTTAAGTGAGGTCGTCATAATATCTTACTAGCGAGGCCATGGAAATGTGAGTTCCTTACACAAGGTATGGAAGGGCAACTCCCTTAGGCGAGGCCTAGAAGGATAAGTCCCTCATGCGAGGCCTACAGTAGGTATATTTTTTCGTTCTATGGCACGTATTTATAGGCGCTCTTTCTAAGAGGTTTCTCCTAACCCTGTATTAATCTATTTACAAAATTGGAAAGGCAAATTTGTGAGTGTGTTAGGGGTATATGTGAACACTCGATGGTTATATTTGAAGATACTGGTGAGCACTAGTTCCCTTTGTACCCAACGAGCAAATAAACTGGTCCCGTTGTGATTTCCTAAGGGAGACAAAAAGAAAGGCCATTGATATTTTGGAGGCATTCTAAATTATGAGCTTAAGGGACATGATAGATTATGATCGAGATGATTATGGTGATAAGAAGCCCATAAACTATTAGAGTAAATGGCTTGTTTAATTGAACGCTATGTTTGGTATGTTTATCTTATTTGACCGTTTGTTGTCTTTTTGCATAGATGATTACCCTGTATGGTCGTTGTTGTGAAAAGGGATCTTCAAGCAAGGGGGAAAGATGAGCAAGATGAAGTATGTTCTATTAATCCTAAAAGAAATCCTTCAAGTTTGATAACCTAGGGAAAAAGGAAGATGGCATAAAATGTGACTATGATCTCTGTCACACCTTTAAACATTATCAAATCGATGGCGAATGAAGTGATACCCTATCTAGTATGGGTTAAGAAGCACAAGACCTCAAAAGACAAGCACACATTATATATGGATGCTGAAACCTTCATTGATCTTGAGTAGATGTCGTCCCATGGAACTACTTCATCAGCTCCTTTAACGAGTAAGGCGACATTCTCTCTCTAGAATGTGAATTTTGATGTTAGTGATTTGGTGCAAAAACCATTTTGGATCCATGAAGATGTCCAACTTGGTGAAGGATGATCTTCGGAGGGAAATCTTTTTGAAGCGGGTACTGTTTGACTCCCACAGCCAATCAGATAAGTCTGCGGTGAGCTTCAAAACTGAGCTAAACACTCCGAAAGAGAATCTAACCTTTTCTAATAAGAGTCATAATAAGGCATATAAATCTTCGACCAAGATGATGGAGGGAAAAAAGAGAAAGAATAGGCTTGTAAGAAGTTGGGCAAGGAAATCGACCAAGCAAAGTTCAATATTTAAGCTTTGGAGGAGCCTTCCAATCAGGGTTTCCGCATAGGGCGAAAATGCCCTTATGGTTCAAGCAAAGTTTCCTCATAAGGCGACAATGATACCTCTTGAGGTTTAAGTGAGGTTGCCTCACAGGGAGACAATAATATCCTTTATAGCTAAAGTATAGTTCTCTCATAATGGGAAATGATACCTCATTAGGGGTCAAGCAAAGATGCCTCATAAGGTAGAAATGATACCCCTTATTGTTCAAGCAAATTTGCATCATAGGGAGATAATGATACCCACGGGGTTAAAGTTTTTTTTGCCTCATAAGGGGCATTATACCCCTTAGGATTCAAGTAAAGCTTCCTCATAGGGCTTAAATGATACTTCATTAAGGATTAAAATTTTTTGCTCAGTAGGGTGTATCATATAGAGAAATCAACGGATGACGAAGTTGAGAAAATATGACACCTCGTTAAAAACTCTAACCTTTATAGGGAAAATGAGTGCTACCAGACTTCTATTTATTAATTAAAAGAGTTTTGAAACATATCTAATGATGAAAAGAACATCGCCTTGTTTTATTGACAAAATAATAAACTATAATAGTGACTTAGATTTACTATGTTCTAGGTTCTAGTGACGAGACTTCCACCCAACTCTTCCAGTTTGTACATGCCATGTGATAGTCTTTCCTTTATTATGTATGACCCTTCCTAATTGAGAAGTAGTTTTCCAATCTAGAAAGGTTCCATGGCCTTATTGAGCACATTGTCTCACTCTTTCATGTCCCGTGGGACTACTATGGAATTATACCTCCTAACAGCTTTGTTTGGATGCTAATTCCTGGATGTGGACATGCATCTAAGTCCTAATTCATTTTATACAAATGAAAAGATTCAATTGGTTTTAACAATATGATGAAAATATGTGACTTTCTAGAAAATGTGTTTAATTAAAATAACACATGGCATGGATGGGGAGATGTAAAGTATGATTAAATAAGATAACAATAACAAATGGAAAAGAGTGTACCTCATGCAACTTTTTTGCCCACGCTACCTTGACTTCATGCATCTTATTTTGTATTACGTTGAGGATGGAATTATTGGTTGATTTGGCTTGTCCATTGGCATGAAGATGCACCACTAAGAAAAAAATTGTTTAGATTCCTGACTGGTTATATAAATCTACCATGATCGAGCTGGAGAATTAGATTCCACTATCTAAGACAATGTGTCTGTGAAGATTGAACCTGCATATTATTCTCTTTAAGCCGAAGCGTCATATTCTCTCTATCATGATCTTGGACACGATCTCCGCTTTAATCCATCTGGTAAAGTAGCCGGTGCCCATGAGAAAGATATTCAGCTGCCCTAGTTCCAGGGAAAAAGGATCCAAGATGACCATGCCCCGTTGATAAAATGGCCAGAAAGAAGTCACATGGTGAAGGATTTCCATCGGGGTGTGATGTAGGGTTGAATGCCTCTGACATTTGTCACATCTGTTTGGTGAATTTTGTGTTGTATTTCATCATGGTTGGCTAGTAATAGCCGACATTCAACAATTTATGGGCCAGTGGCCTTCCTCCAATTTGGCTTCCGCATACTCATTCACGAACTTTCACGTGTACCAAAGGGGTCTTATTTTCTCACAGAAATCTCAGTATCGGGGAGGTCTTTCCCATATTGTACAACTTACTTGCCACTTGTGAATTTTCCTCCAACCTCTTGATTTTATTTGCCTCACCCTCATTTGAGAGCAGTGCATATAAGTTAAGTACCACACTATTGGTGTCATCCATCATGGGAGTTAAGGGTATAAGTTGTGTTGACACTTTTGTTCTTGGTGTAGGGAATTTCTATGATCTCTTATATGAGTGTAGTATTATGTTTAGGTTTCTTGAGGATGACAAACTTAAATATGAGATCAACCCAAACATTTTCTTCCATAGGCGCATATACCACTTTGAAAATTTTGAAATGTTGGACAAGTCTTGAACTCTTTGGAGGTTTTTGACAAGTTATGCCTCATTTGTATGATAATCTTTGACGACCTGGCTAGTTATTGACTGTGACTCACTGTAGGCTCTAAGATTATTCAAGCCTATTTCTATAGCCAAAGTCATCCCGGCGATAAAGACTTTGAATTCTTTCTAATTATCAATGTCTTTGAATTTGAACATTAGGGAATGCTCTATGAAAATATTTTCCAGGACCTCTAAAACCACAACGACTCTGCTTCCTTTTAGGTTTTACGTGTTGTCTATTGACATGGCCCACACATAATAAGTTTCCTTTCCCACTTGGGAGCAGAAACATACTAGAAAATCTACAACCATCTGAGACTTTATGATACCTCTAGGGAGGAAGTGAATATCATATTCTGATAAATCTATAGATCGTAATACCATTTTTCCTACCAACTCTAGTTCATTCAATATCTGGAGAATGGGATAATTCATTTTTACCATCACCATGTACTCTTAAAAGTTAGGCCTCAAATTCCTTGTTGTTATCATTATTGCCAACACCAATCTCTTTATCTTATGATATCTTAACTTTTCCCCTTTGAAAACCTTGATGACAAAGTAAATTGGCTGCTCGTTGCCCTTCTTTTCTTGGATGAGTACACAAATCATTGCTCTATCATTTACTGATAAGTTCAAGAACAACGATACACCCTTTGTTGGGTGTGAAAAGATCGGTGGAGTCACCAAGAAAGCCTTTAGCTTTGAGAAGGCATTTTCATACTCTTCGGTCCATGTAAACTTTTCTCTTTTCTTTTGGGTGTCTAAGAAATGAAAGAATTTGTCCCCAAAATAAAAAAGGAATTAAGAAAGTGCGGCCATGCGGCCTGCCAACTGTTGAACCTTTTTCAATATGGTTAAGCAATCATGACACTCACCTC